AAAGAAAGAGGAAGAGGGGGAAGGGAAGGGAAGGGAAGGGAAGGGAATATGAAGAACTTCTGCACCCGGATGGCGGGGAAGGTTGCACAACACTAGGAATGAACTTAACGCCACCAAACTGTACACTTAAAAACAGTCAAAATGGTTAAATTTTACATGATTTGTATTTTACCGTAATAAAAATGATTAGAGGACAATAAAAAGTTTTGTCAATGCTGTGGGTATATCAGAACCTCCATACATACTTGGCTGGTGGGAAGGTACAGAACACCTGTTCTGGAACACAGTGTGGCGGGACCTCAAACGGGAAAGAGGGCTCTGTACCTTTTTCTCAAAGCATTTCTGTGAGGAAATTTGTATGTGTAAACCCTTCCTCTATGCTTTCGATATGAAAGGTGTATAAACCTTGTAAAGCCTCTGTGAACATTATAACCCAAGGATGTTTCTGTTTGTTAAGTAGGCTCTGCTCAGTGTGGAGCCCAATGTCCAGACCTGGGCTGAGATCAAGAGTCACATGCTCAACCGTTTAACCGACTCAGCCACCCAGGCCCCCACCAAGGATGTTTAAGATCCTGGGAGCCATCTCTTTGCTGCCATGAAGAAGGAAGCCAGGAGAGGTTTTATGAAGGGGAGTGAGATGACCTGATTTACCTTTTAATAGAGCATTCTGGCAGCTACGGGAACAGAGGTTGGTGGCAGGAGGGAGGTGTAGGGCCAGCAGGAACATTGTTGGGGGCGGCAGGGGACAAGGACAAGACTGACCAAACATACTAGAGAGGCCTACTGAGTTCCCGGGCTCTGCTTTCACCTCCTAAAAGATTCATTCTTTACAACCACCACCTGCTGGGTCACGGGCTGCTAAGGGCAGCACCTTCGTGCCAGTTAGAAAGAGATGCCTCGCCCTCTGTATGGGAGCAGCCCCCCGGTGACCCCTCAGCTGACCACGTGGCATGGCTCCAGTCCGCCCACCAGGCTTCTTGCATTGAGATGACAAAGGAGGAGAAAATGACGGGGAAGAAAAACACATTTTTATTGGAGGCTAAGCGTTCACCCAGATCATCCCCGCATTTTTAAATTTTAGATTTCAGGAATATTTCCACATTTGGGCATAAAGCCAACTCATGATGTACAAGCTGGCTTAATCAGCTCATGACAACTGTTCCGGAAAAGCAGCACCTTAACTGTGCGCATTTCTTAAGCAAGAGACTCAGAGGAGACGCACACTCTTCATGCCATCTCCTTCCATCTCTCACTTTAAACATACACACCGGGGATGACCGTTTGTTTTTCTTTGCTTTGTTTTTCCTATGTGTGAATAGTTCTGAAATAAAAATAATTTAAGGGAAAAAAAAGGACTTTCAGAGGCCCCTAGAGGTGCCAGGAATCCACGCTGGGAGCACAGGCTTTTCCATCACTGGCTGTGCAAGGGGCAGGTTTTGGTTCTGGTCTAGAGTCAACAACCTGAGGTACTTCCAGAACACCCTGGTCCTTCACCCGTGCGCACAGGGAGGCGAGCTACCTTCAGGAGGGAAGCCGTTCTGAGGCCGCGTTAGTCCAGGCAGATGGAGACTCGCCAGGGGTGCGGGACAGACAAGCACACGCCACCAGCACTCCCGGGGCGCCCCGTGTGACCGCCATCCCTGAGGAAGGAGAGGAGGTGCCTCCCGTCCAGAGACACACGCACATACTGCTCAGCCATGCTGTCCTTCCTTCAGACGCGCCCCCCCCGCCCCCTCCGTGGTCCACCCCCAGGGATGTCGCCCAGAACCCGAGGAGGAGTCTGGTGGAGGACTCCAGCCCCATTCCCCCATGGCCCCAACGCCTCTCTGCACAGCTCTGGACCCCAGTCACACTTCCTACTCCCCTTAACCCACCCAAGACTCGCTTCACTCGGAGAGATGCATTCATGGATGAGAGGCTCCCGAGGCGTGGGGAAAGGGGAAGATCCTTCTCTTCCTCTGATCTTTCGTGCCAGACGCGGCCCACAGCCACCAGCGGGCCGGAAGCCCCTGCCGACCCTCGACTGGTTCCCTGATGCCCGCCTGCTCTGGGCACTTTGTGGCAGCCTCGTCCAGCTTCCCAGACTTCGTGTCTCTCTCCCAAACCAGAGCTAAAAAGACAGACATACAGACAAGGGTGGTTCCCACAGCAGAAACCTCAACGTCTGGTGGGAAGAAGGCTCCCCTGGCCTGGGGGCTTGGGGAAGGAGACCGCCCAGCCTGCAGCTCCTCTGTGGGGCCCACGGGACGAAAGGGTCATCACTGACACATCAGGACCTGACAAGAGCCGGGACAAGCCTCCACTTCCATACCAACAGGCCCCCCGTGGCCTGCAGGCTGCTCTCACACCTGGGGCCGTGGTCAGGCTACTTCCAAGTCCCCAGGTGCCCTGCCTGGCTCTCAGACACAGACCAAATCCTGTGCCTGGGCTGCCCCAGCTCAGTGGGGTCTGGTCCCTGCTGCTCTCTCCTGGCTCCCAGCAGCACATGCTGGCTTCCCCTCTCTGGACTCACATGGCCCCTTCCTGTGGCTGGACTCGGGCTCCACAGCCTCGGATTCCGCGCTCCTCGGGGAAGCCTCTGCCCACACTGCCCCTCACACACTCTGCATCTTTCCTGTGGGGTCATTCCCCACCCCGTGTGCGCTCAGTGCACGATCACCTGTCTCCCCACTTGACTGTGACCTTCAATCAGCAGCACCTGTGTCTTTCTGTCCAGTGTCGCATCGCCAGGACCCAGCATGGAGCTCACGCACCGTCCATCACGGGCCAGGAAAGCAGGGGGTGCGGATCTGAACCCGGATCGTCCCCCTTTCAGCAGCTCTCCGTCCCCAACTTCCCTGTCAGCCGCCTCTCCCGTTTCTCCCCTCTGATGACTTCTCAGGCTCAGCCAGTCTTCCTTCCTAACCCACCTCGTAAATGGTGAGGTTTCCTGGCATTCTGTCCTCTGCTCTGTGTCCTCGCCTGGTCAGCTCGAGGCGTCAGATGCCGCCATTGTACCGACAGCTCCCTGACCTCCCTTCCGAGTTCCCACAGACCTCATACAACTGTCCCCCAGCACCTGTCCCCGAACATTCCGCTCACATCTCCAGTGAGACCCATCCCGCAGCGAACGCGGCCTTCACCCTTCACAAAGGGGCCCCTCTTCTTCCCTCCTGGACCCCACTGCCCGTGCCTTTGTCCAGACCCTCGAAACGTCTCACCTACCTTATTGCAAGTGTCTCCGGGACGGTTCCACCTCGGGTTTTCCCTCACTTTAAATCTATCCCCACAAGGCTTCCAAAGTGACCGTGCGTGTTCAACTCCAACTGCACAAGGACTTCACGAATCTACTCTCTATGAAATGCTAAGATTACATGTAACTGAAGCCCTCTTTCGTCCCGCCCCTTCTCGATGCCATTCCCAGTGGAGGTCCCGGCACCAGCTCAGGTGTGTCCCCAGCCTTTCCATCTGCGCTTCCACACACACCAGACCCGCACAACCACGTCCGCTCCCTTCAGCAGCAACGGGGACACATCAGCACGATGCTCCCCTCCCCCCGCCGCCCCGGCTCCGTCCACACCAGCTGCCCTCCTTTCTGACGGTGGCGCTCGGGGCCGGAGCGGGGACTCGCCCAGCTTCTCCCGCCACACCTTATCGGAGGACCTTTCCATTGTTTCACAGTTAAGCCAACTTTCCCGAAATACCAAGAACTCCAGCATCTGCTGACACTCCTTATTTCCATGGACGGTCCCATGTCGGGTCTTGTCAAAGCCCGCTGTACCGCAGCCTGGCTAGCTTTCTGACACCGTTTCCTTCCTCGGCTCCTTCTCTCACACACCCTGAGCCTCGGTCAGAAGGATTCCCTGCCATTCCTTAAGTACGCCGTTTGCTGACTGAATCTCCGATGTGCAGCCCTCCTCTGAAAACAGGAGCGAGCAAGAAGAGCTCCTGAGTGATTCATTGGGAAGTGACTACCAGAGAATAAGAGGAAGCTTGCGTCTGGGGCCCGAGTGTCCCCTCTCCGTCACTTCTCGAGGACAGAGACTCAGGGGAAACTTTCCTGAACCACATCTCCAAGCCGCACCGTCCACTTACCACCCAGACTGCTGCCTGAGCCCATTCCCGGCCCCTCAGTCCCACCCACTCACCTAGAGAGGGGCCTCCAGGACTTTCTTTCTCTACCCTCCAGGGATCTTCTCCTTGCTGCAACAGGGAGATCACTTTTGGTTTGGAAAACAGGAGTCCTGCTCAGAGACAAGAAGAAAAGTCTTGGTTTTGCTTTGACTCGAAAGAAGCATCACGGATCTGAGCGGAAAACTCAGGGGACGGCACAATGAGCTTCGGTGGGGTGCTCGAGCCGTGCCCCCGCGATGTGAGGGCCTTTGTGAGGGGAAAAGCAAGGGACCTGTAGGGCGTGGCTATGTAATTAGTTGTTGTAGGTTAGAGAAATATGATAAACATGCAGCTTTGATTACTAGAGTATCCATGGCTTTCTACAGGAGAGGGAATACGTTAATGTAAAGACTAAATATTTGTAAACAGGTACCCATACCGAGAGACTGTGTACCAAGTGCCCTGTTTAAAATGAGAAAGCGCTCTCTGACTCCCTTTCAAAGGTGGGTTATACAACGTTTCGTCAGGCAGGAAGGGGGAACTGGGAAAGGCTGGCGGCAGGTTAATGAAGACGGTTGAGGGATGCTCTCTGCTGTGAGCTGAGCAAACAAGATCAGCAGGAAAATGTTGCCTGAACTATGAGGGAATTTCTAACATGCAAGTATGTTAAGTGTCCCGTGCCTGGGACAAATCCATGCCTATAGGGGGAAAGAAGTTTTAAACACTTATTTATTTACAATGTGTACAATCCAAAGGCAAAATTCAGCTAAAAGTTCCTGATGACCCATGGCTTTTATGCAGGGAGGCAGGTGCTGACTTATGCTAACGTCTGACCTTTTCATCTACAGGGAAAATTCCCTTACCCAGTGAGACCAGGTTACTGTAGTTCTCCAGCATCACTTCCTGGTACACGTTTCTCTGAGAAGGATCCAGCTTCCTCCACTCATCCCGCGTGAAGAGCACAGCCACATCCTCGAAGGTCACCGACACCTGTAATGACAAGCCATCCCGGCTCACCCAGGACCTCCCACCACACAGAGTGAAGGTAGCAGGGGGGAGTAGACGGGCTGCCGTGAAAGGCTTCTGATGTCATTCTGGTTTCTGAAGATGTCAGGTCATTTGTTTAATGAACCATCGGCCAGTGACAAATACATACTGAGCAGCATGAAGTATTCACCAGGCCCTGTGTTAACTACTATAAGGAGATGTGGGGAGGAAGTAAGACCACTGGAGTGTTAATTAGAATAATCTTGCTGATGGTGATTTGATAATACATATCAAAAGCTTTAAAAGATGTTTATTCTTTAACTCACCAATTATATTTCTATTATAATGAACAGTACACAAAAATGCACACAGAGCATTTATCATGGTTTTAGTAATAGCAAAAAATTAGAAACAAGCTAAGTCATCACGGATGATGAAGGGTAGGGTCACTAATGGAAGGTACTATCTGAGTGCTCACTGAAGCTGGAGGACGGAAATAACGGAAACTGAAATCTCTCTCTTCTACTGAATGCTTTACACAGGCCAGATACAAGCCTTAGAACTTTCTATTAATCTTTAATATGATCTTTATTTAAAAATCACGACAACTCTAAGAGAAGATTCATCAGTGTCCTCATTTTACATGAGAGAAAACAGCCA